TCTATTCATTTATAATTAGTAAAAGTACACTTGATTTCTACCAATGGAGTCCTGTGGTCTTTTTTCCTGATTTTTGAATGAAGAAGGGCTGACAAAGAATTTGCTTTTTGGGGGAGAAGGGAGACACCCTTTTCAATTGTGGAAAAAGGGTGGCAAAGTGGATGAAATTATACCCTGTCCTTGGGCCAAACATCGCTGTGCTAGAATAGTGTACAACTTTCAAAATTGTAAGTACCTCCTAGAGTTCTCAGATATTCCATGCAAAAAGAATTGGAACAGATACTGCAGTTTTATATTTGATGGGCTGCCACAGAGAGGTGGGGGTCAAGCTATTTTCCAAAACCACTCAAAGGAATAATGGATGGAAACTGATCAATGAGAGAATGAACCTAGAAATAAGGAGAAATTTTCTGACAGTGAGAACAATCAACCAATAGAACAGCTTGCCTTCAGAAGCTTCATCACTGGAAACTTACAAGAAGAGACTGGACTACCATTTGTCACAAATGCTCTAGGGACTCCTGCTTGGGCAGGGATTGAACTAGAAGATCTTCCAACTCTGTTAATTTGTTGTATCGATTGTAGCTTGACCAAAATATTGTCCCACAACATCTCCTAAGCTCTCATGCTGATTTATAAGATCATATACAATGTACTTTGGTGACAACAATTAGAACATGTGAAATAAAAAGAGATTTGGTGTATAAATAAAATTCATTCTAGAACATGAAAAACTTGCCAACATTTTCCTACTATATGAAAAAACTGCACATTATACTATACAGATTAGACTTTCTGTTACTGGTTGCAAAATGTATAGGTGGAACACTCAAGATTAAGCTTTCAAGAAATTCTAACATCCCTTGTAAGAGGTATCAAAAAGAATAAATTTTATTTCAGTAAAATTGCTCTTCAAAACTGACACAGCTCATTCTTGACTGCTCAGTATACAAAACACTGATTTGCTATAAATATATACAATTTCCTAACTTTCAAGGGGCATAGGAAAACTTGTCAAAGAAAAATTATAGACATAATTTCTGCAACTAAATCAAGTGTACTTTTAGCACCACCTAGGGACAAGTTCTGTATTAACAGTTTTTTAAAGGTAAGTCTTCTATTAAATGTTATTCTTACTGAATGAAAATGTTTTATAATTATATATTGGAATGAAACAACTATTCTTCCAGCAACAGTGAGTCTTTGTTTCTATATATCCTTGTATAAGAAAATTGCTGAATTATTGAAACTGGCACTTCAGGGGCACTTTAAAGATTAACACATTGAATTAAAACTTTCAGAAATGTAGAACTCAATGAATTTTTCTCTACAAGAAATATTTGCAATTCCTGTACAATAGTCAGTGCAGTTTGCAGTGCAGTATTTCTGTTTTCCTGTCATAGTCTGTTAGAATCCATCCGGAGTAGTGGAGAAAAAAAACCACTGTTGTCTGTAAATGATGATTATAATTCTTTGTCTCCCTCTGGAGGGGTTTGACACAGAATTGAAAATGTATCTCCATGTTTCTGAAAGTTTTGTTCTACTACTTTTCAAAACAAGGTAGCAAAGTTAATGAAAGTAACAATGGAATTTTTGGCTTGGGAAGGAAAGAGACACACATAGATACTTACCATCGGTGACGCAGTGGTTAGAGTGCAGCAGGCTACTTCTGCTGACTACAATTTGGCAGCTTGAATCTCACCGGGCTCAAAGTTGATTCAACCTTCCATCCTTCTGAGATCAGTAAAATGAGGAGCCAGATTGTTGGGGGCAATATGCTGACTCTGTAAACAGCTTAGAGAAGGCTGTGAAACTCTGTAAAGACTGAGTGCTAGTGCTAGCGCTATCGTCACATAAAACAAGACCGGGACACGTCAGATCCAAGAAAGAAAAGAAAGTATTGGCTGTGTTTGCATGTCACCTTAAGCCACAAGCTAGCAAGTGCGACGAGTATAATTCAATAAACATGGTTGATTTATGTTCAGGATGTCAAAGCATCCTTAAAAGCAGGTTAATTAAATATATTGGGTTTAACCCATGACAAAGTATGTCACAACCACATGTTTTCAACAGATAAAGGATTTTAGAAGCCTGTACAAAGCTAATCCACTATACAGTTAACTAAGGTGACTAGACGTCCCGATTTCAGCGGGACGGTCACGCTTTATAACAATTTGTCCCATGTCCTGGGGTGTTTTTTAAAAAGTCCTGATTTTTTGGCTTCATGTTGAAAGCCCAGTGGATTTGCTTAAGAAATCCTAACCGGGNTTGCGGAAGGCCGGAAGGGTAATAATAAGGGTCCGGATCTCGACGGGGAGATCGTTCCATAGGGCTGGAGCAGCTAAAGAGAAGGCCCTCCCCCGGGGGGTCACCAGCCAACATTGACCGGCAGATGGAATCCGGAGGAGGCCTAGTCTGTGCGATCTAATAGGTCTCTGGGAGGTAATTGGCAGGAGGCGGTCTCTCAGATAGCCAGGTCCGATGCCATGTAGGGCTTTAAAAGTAACGACTAGCACCTTGAAGCGTGTCCGGAGACCAATGGGAAGCCAGTGCAGCTCGCAGAGGATAGGTGTAACGTGGGTGTACCTAGGTGCACCCACAATTGCTCGCGCGGCTGCACTAACTGATGTCAAACTCAACTAATGATCCTTCCTGGAATTCTTTTATTAGAAACCTGATCACCAAGCATGCTCATAGCCTTATGAACCATTGCATGCAGTCCATTGTCCTTCTCTATCTCTGCAGTCTGCTGCTTTTAATAGCAACACTCCGGGGCAGGACTACTGGCAATGTGAGAAGTGTTGAATCTCATCCAAACTGTTTAGATGATTGGCAGAGAATTACTAAGGTAGCAGAAATGGGGCTGTGCTGCAGATAAAATTATGATGTATACACAGCGCTACCCCATCTTACCAGTTCCTTACCAGCTTCCTCCATGCTCACCTATTTAGATAGGAACAAGGTCTCTATTTCGGTAAATTTCCTTTATCTTGGATTTATACATACTGCAACAAGCCATAATATGGTTTGGTTTGGTTTGCACTTACTGAATTGTGTAAATCCAGCCAGCATAAAACAAGATTTATCTATGCTCAGCCAATTGAGGTTAATTTAAATGATTGAGCAAAGCATTATCTGCAAGCCCATCTTTTTGATGGAACTTTGAATACATGGCAGTAGAGCATGTGAAAAAGATAATTATATTGGGATTCTTACTTCCCCTCACCCCATGTATATATGCCCACTCTTACTTTCTACATACATAATTTCTGGATAATTACTTATGTTGAATTAAGACACGTTAGCCCCATGGCCATATATTCAGTGATCTACGGAGCAGCACAAAAATGGAAGTAGTAAGGAAATGGAAATGATGATACACTATATTGCCAAAAGTATTCGCTCACCCATCCACATAATCAGAAGCAGTTGTGAGCCAATACGTTTGGCAATACAGTGTATTTACTCCTAGATTGAGGGTGTACACACTATTGTCGCTTTAGCTGCTCTTCATTGCTAAAGGTCGTTTTTACTGGGAGGGTGTATTAAAAGAATCTACCAAGTATCAACATGGGAGCAAACTATTTCAAATTTAGGCGGAGAAGTAATTGTTTATTTAACTAGAAGGAAGCATTATACTAGACCTCCCCAAATAATCGTTAGACCCAGAGAAAGAGGAACCCACATAACATGCGCACGCGCAAGCCACGCAGAAGATGGGGCGAGGCCGGGCGTGCGAAGTGGCCCTCCTTTAAGACCTCGTTCCCACGGCAACCCTTGCTGCCGGAAGAATTCCTCAAGGATTCCGCCCATCTCCTAGAGTATCTCTGTAGTACGGGCTCCCAGGAGCCGTTCCTTTCCTGCCAAGATGGCGGACGACGGGAAACGGCAGGACGAGGCGGAGGAAGCAGGAGAAACAGGCGAGCCGAGTGGCGTTGGGCGGCAGAAAGGACCCTGTTCAAGCGGACGGCCTCCCACCGTTCGGGATCTGCAGGTAGAAGACTGGGGAGAGATGCTGAAGGTCGGGAGCCTATAAGCAGAGGCTTGGCAGTGTTGGCTCTCCCCTTCCCTGTGACACTCGCTCCGCTTCAGAAAGTGAAGCGGCGATGTCCTGATCAAGGGAAAGTGGAGTGATCCTTATCTGAGAGAATAAATTGACAGCTGCCTGTTTTGAGTAGATGCCTTTGGTTTTATTTAATGGATCTGAGGACCATAGATCAGATCAATAGCATGTTTTCTTTTCCTTTTATTGCCAGAAGATTTTTCTTTGAAAGAATGAGAAAGATCCATCATATGATCAGCAATAGTAATAGCACTAACCTAATCCACATATACATTGTACATATGGGTCTTTATTTCTTCCGCATACTTAAAATCTTCCACATAGATCTTGCAGAAAGGAGATGTGTCAAAATATTAGAGAAATGTATGTACGTGTTTTAATATTGGTGAAATTGAATTCCATAATTGTAAATCATGGCATCTATAATATATTAAGATAGATAGACAGACAGACAGACAGACACACTATATTTGCTATCATCAATTTTTTCTTCTTATATGAGCTGTAGCATATACCCTATGTTGAGTTTAGGATAATCTTAGCTATAATACCAAATTTCATTCATTGTAGACATTGAAACTTTTGACAGGTGGAAAGTATATCCCCCCCAATTTTTGTAAATGAATTCCCAGGAGTTCAAACTAGCATTCTCAATGTCGAAGAACCAATAGTTCAGCGAAGTTCCAGAAAGTCAACAGCTACCTACTGTGAGCTTGTTCTATTCACTGCCTTTAATCTTACTTTGCCGTTTTAGACTAGTAATAAATGTAATAACATCAGTATTAAGAAGTATTCACTTGGCAAATATTGTTCTTCAATCATGAGATTTTAATGAAAAAATAACTGTCAGTGTTTGACTACTTATCTATACTGTTCCTTGCCACCCAGCCCTGCATTTGAAAATAGCTCATATTATTTCATTTCTTGGATCAATAGACACTAATTAATTCATATATTCCGTGTAGTTGGCATTGGCTGGATTATATGAAGATGAAATTAAAAGACAACCACCTCATTCAGACAAACCAACAACTAGAGTTGCCACTCACCCCCGATTACCAGTGCAAAGGTACAAAAAATGTTCATTGTAGATATTGGAAAATAGAATAGTTTGAAATGATTGTGATAGTTTCTATAAACATACATGTGAGAAATATTAATATTCAGCAAGCATTTTAATGAATCATTGATATTGAAATATATTTAATATTGTGAGTATAAATTGTGCTTATTTATATGGGAGTAAATTCTATTAAACATGTGACAACTTATTTTTAAGCAAACAATTGTATTTCATTTAGGAAATCATTTGACTACCATAGAGCTTTACTTTAACCCTGCTAAAATTAATGAAACTACGATTCTACTATCAATTTTCTATAGACTGATGAATTTAGTCATATATTTAAGTTCTATATCTCAAATTAGTTTAATTTAAAACTAATTTACTAACTTTTTTGTATTTATAATTTATAATAAATTAAAATTTATAATTTTAGACAGCATAGGAAAGTGGGTTTTGTTTTGATTTTTTTGTAATACAATGGAATAAAAGATTGATGGTATCATTAACAAATAATATTATGAATAAATTTTCTTGTTTCTTCTAGAAATTTGAGAAAACCAGAAAGAAGTATGAGTGATGACATGGATAACCAAAGGTACCAAAAAATAAAACATTTGATTTATTATATTTATTTTATTTTCATTTATTTATATCCTACCTTTATTATTTTTATAAAGAACTCAAGATGGCGAATATACCTAATACTCCTTCCTACAGTGATGTTCTTCTTGTCTGGAATATCAAAGTCCTTACAGGTGGTCTGTGTGCGCATAGGTGACATAGTCGTTAGAATGCAATACTGCAGTCTAAATCGCTGCTCACTCCAGGAGTTGGATTCTGAGCAGCTCAAGGATAACTAAGCCTTTCATCCTTCCGAGTGGGTAAAATGTGGACCCAGATTGCTGGGGGCAATATGCTGACTCTCTAAACTGCTTAGAGAGAGCTGTAAAGCAGTATGAAGCGATATCTAAGTCTAAGTGCAATTGGTATAGCAATTTTGTCTTTTCCCAGGATTGTGCAACTGTGCTCTACGACTGCCATATGATCCCTGAAAAAGTTGTGTTTGGTTTAAAGAGTTGCAGATGCTACTTATGCATACTCCTTGCTTTTAAGTGTTTTAACTGCTTTTATGTGGAAATCTTTTTCTGGATTTTATGTGGATTTTATGTTGGAAAGATGAATTTCTGTTTAAAAGCTTTGACTTTAATTGTTATTTTTTTTTAAAAAAAGATTTTACTCAGGCGATACAGAATACAGAATTGTTGAGTCATCTGGCAATATGTCCTCCAGTAAAATAGTTGATGAACTTTTCAAAGAAGCAAGAGAACATGGGGCAGTTCCTTTGGATGAAGTATCAAGAGCTTCAGGGGACTGCAATAAAGCTAAAGTGTGTATATACATTTTTCTAGAACATTTATTTTAATGCAAAAATATTTGTGTTGAGATTTGATTCATCTTAAAATCATGCTTAAATTGTACTCAAAAAGCTATGAATGTTGGTAAATTCTAATTCAACTGCCTGATTAGGGCAGGAGTCTTCACACCACCCCAGACAAATCATTGTCAGAACTTTGTTTGAAAGATCCATGGATCTTTCCATGTGGTACATGCTGTACCACTACCTAGTAGTTCTTACAGTCAGCAAATTTCTCCTTATTTTGTATTTGGATCTTTCTCTATAAAGCTTTCATCCGTTGAGTCTTATCCTATACTTAGACACTAGGGAGAATAAATCGATACTTTTTCCTGGTAACAGCCCTTGCTGTTATGTCATTTGTTAGCCTTCTCTTTTGTTGGCAAACAAGCCTAGTTCTTTTAAATGGTCTTCAGAGGATTTAGCCTCACTATCTTTGTTACTCTTTTCTGCATTCCTTGCATTTTTTCAGTTTTCTAATATTGTGGCAAGCAAACTGGGCATAGTAAAAATAATCCTCAACTCATAACCATTTGTTTAACAATGATTTGAAATTATGACAACCTCAGAAAGGTGCTATATTACCCATAAAACACTTCTGGCCATTGCAGAACATTGTACCATCACCCCCTGATTGCATGCTTGCAATCTGGGTGTTTAAACTTATGACAAGCAGCCAAATGTCCTGCAGTAATGTGATTGCCATTTGCAATTTTCTTGGCTGGCTTCCCCAGAAAATTAATGTAGAAGCCAACAGTGGAGGTTGCAAGCGGCTGAGAGGAACAGTTCTTTTCCATGCCCAAAGGGAAGCTGAACTTGCCAGGCAGTTCTTTCACTTTGTCTATGTAACAACTCGAGAACAACCCAGTGATTGCAACTGGGAGTGCTGGTCTTTTGGTCTTTGAACAAAGCAAAAACATGGGTATCTCACTGAACTACCACTTAGTTCAACGACGGAGATGCTTGTCCCGGTTGTAATTGTAGGTTGAGGACTATCTATGTACTAGATGCAATCTAACCAATGAAGCATTTTAAATTATTCATTCTTACTAGTAGTTTCTAGAAGCAGATTGACAACTAGAGTCTCAGTTTATCAGTGAAACCACCACTTATTTGTAACGAGTGTGCAAACTATATTTTCAGATGTTGTTTTAATTACAAACTGTTTGATATGATATATGGATTCGGTCTACATTTATTGCATGAACTCCACATAATCTAATTTCTTTGGGGAAAACATGGCATTGTTCTATCCCGAATTATAAGCTATCAAATGCAATAGTCACTGGCCACAAAATATAGTTCTGGATATGTTTATCATTTAATAATGATAAGATGAATTCATTTGATTTTGATTTTTTCTAGTTGTGTTTGTAGCAACAAAAGAAAAGTGTTTCTAATTTACAGATTGACTTAATAGACTGTTTTCTTCCATTTCTAACAGTACCCAGCATATTTTTAAAAACTGTAGTTAATAATAATGAACTCATTCATAAATAGTGTATAAGTTGTTAAAAGTAAGTAGTCTTACCTATAATGCAGATCTTTATTTTAAATATTTAGTCATTTTCTGGTGGTGGATACAGACTGGGAGACTCTGCTCGGAAGCATTCTGAATATGTACATGGAGAAAATCAGTATGGGCAAGATGTAAGTAAAAGTATGATAAATAAAATTCTCTATTAAAAGAGAATCAATATGATTCTTCCAAAGTAGATTTCACTTTAAGTTGCATATAAGTACCAAAATGTAAACTCTGTGGTTACTACTAAATATCTTTCTAATTTGGTTAACTGTATTTGTGCTTCTGTATTCTATACTAGAGATATGCACACTTAAACATGAAAATGTGATACTCATAAAAAGAAAGCACAGAAAAATGTATTCTTCTAAATACATTATGTTGTGGGTTACCTGACTAATGTTTTAAGTTAGAATCTTAGTTTTAGGTTGATACTTAAGATGTTCATTCTTCCCATCTCTCTCTGCCTGATCAAGAAGATCAGAAGATCAAGTAGAAAGGCCTTTTACTTTGTTTGTCATGCGAGAGGTAGTCCCTTTTCCGGATGCCTTTGGTTGAATTGAGAATATGGCTTTGTTCTGAATAAATATTGTTTTGTTAGAAAAGTGCTGTTTTAATAGTGACAATATTTTAATAAATTTAATAAATTGAATAGCTTATTTATGTTTTACTGATTTGATTTCTTACAACAAAGGAACAAATACTTTATGGTCTACACCAGGGATGTCAAGCTTGCAATGACACATTGTCGTCATGTGACATATTGCAACTTTTCCCCCCTTCACTAAACCAGGAGTTTGCGTCGTCATTGCATGATGCATCTGGCCTGCAGCCTGCAAGTTTGACACCCCTGGTCTACACTTATATTTAGTATATCTGAAGAATGGATATGTCAATATAGAGGCCTACTGTGCTGTATTAGCAAGTTCTGCTCTAGGCTCTTCAGCACTAATTAATGGTTCCTATGTACATCATGAATTCATATGTGATCGTTACAATGCACTAAAGTTTGATTCAGTTTCCTACCTGACCTAGTTATGTTAAATGCCAGGATTAGCAGAAGGCAATAGTATGATTCATCATAGAGGACTGTGGGCCATGAGTCTTTCTACATGAAGAGAATCTCTTGTGCAGGATAAAGTAGAAGCTATCATTCCTAATATTCTTGGATGCAGAATATTTGTCAAACTACTACTTTTTCCAATTGGATAAGAAGTATCTTGAAAAAACTATCCACAGCTATCTAGTTAGGAAATAGATGATGCATTAAAAAGCAGAAGGGTGGCTAACATCATAAGGGAGGACTTTTTACTATAAATATTGTGCTCTAGTTTGGCAAGCTGCACCTTCTGCATTTCTGTATACTGCAACTTCTGCATTTGTAGCTATTTATTTCCCAATAGTTAGAAAGATTCAGAACTGGAATTATTGTATAGTTTTAAAAGATTCAGATGGTCATTTTAAATTAAGTGCTATACTACTGAGAAACAGGCCAATATGTATTGGTAGAAACAATCTATGTCTTCAAAAATCATAATTTATAAATCATTATTATGATTTATCAATAGGTTGAGATCTTGCTTAAATTGTGGAGGAATGGCTTCAGCTTAGATGATGGAGAGCTGAGATCCTACACAGATCCAGTGAATGCTCAGTTTCTTGAATCTGTTAAAAGAGGGTAGGTTTATAATATTAGTGAGTACAATAATACATTGGTATACATTTTCATTGCCTTGATATTTTTGTAGATTTTCTATTCATTAAGTAGGAGATCATGCTAGATTTGCCAATGAATCTGAGATACAGTACATGATCTGTCACAAGAAAGTCAGATGAAATTCTGAGAGTAAAATGTTTTTTGCCGAATTAAAAGTATTTTCTTAAAAAATCCACATGTGTTAAATGATGTTGGGAGGAAAATGTCAAAAACTACCATAGGGTCCCATTTAAATTAAATTAATTTTTNACCCCCAATTAAACCGGTTGTATGTTGGGTTTTTAAACTGTTTGTATTGTTTGTATCTTCCCCTGTGTGTTATTTTATTCATTCGTATTTGTAAGCCGCCCTGAGTCCCCCGGGATAGGGCAGCATATAAACCTATTAAATTGACAATTGACAATTGAATTGAAATTAAATTGAAATGGGAAAACCAGATTCACTTATGCTACTAACTTATCAGCTGCAGTTATTCACTTAAGAACTGTGGCAAGAAAGGTGGTATTAGTGACCAAAGTTACAATGGCATTGAAAAAAGTGACTGATGACCATTTTTCACACAAGATGTTGACAAGGGAACTGTAAAATGTGAGTCAACAAGACAATCTTTGCCGTGATATAGCAGTCAACCCCAAATGCTACCCCTTACACGAAATAGAGCCAATTGTGTGAATCAGATGCTTTAAAGCTTTTTGTTTGTAATTAGCTTCAAAATTAAGCATTGAGAAAGGCAGTAGTAAATATATCCAAAATAAATAGTCTTTTTTTCTTCTAAAAGGAGAGAAGGGGGTGAAATGTGTCATGTAGTTTGGCTGAAAGCAGGCTTCAAAAAACTACTGTATATTACTTCAACTTCTCTACTCATTTGCAATCCAACGATATAGCTGGCACCCCACTCCACTCATTTCCAATGTGACTGAAATTCCTGTTTCCCACCATCTTCTATTTCTTCCCAGGAGCTTTTAAGTTTTGAATCTTAAGGCTGTTTCTCCTTAAGGCTGTGGACGTAAGGGTTCTGGACCTGCAAGGTACCAGCTGATTCACCACACATTCACATCGCCCCATTCAGCCATAATGCTCTGTGTCTTTGAGGGTATCTTCCTTTGGCTGCAAAATTGAGCAGAGCTTCATCCTTCTGATTTATTGAGGATCCAATTGGGATATGAACCTTATGTGAGATTGATATTCTCTATTGGTAATCTCTATCCTCTAACTCACAACAGTGATTTCTTTACATTTGTTGGATAATATTGCTGCCACAACCATTGTTATGGGGGCAACTGCAGATGTAAAATCAGGAATTGCTCTAGTAGTGAAGGATTTGCACCCTCCCATTCTGCTCACTATTCTAGCAGTGGTAGAAATTGCTGTTCCCATTTTTATGGGCTTTTGTTTCAGAAGAATACAAAAGGACCAATCAGACCTCTAATTAGACACACCAACTCAGCATAGGATATAATTAATTAATTAATTAATTAATTAGTTTTGTATGCCGCCCACTCTCGGAAGACTCAGGGCGGCTTACAATAAAAAGGGAGGGGGAATATAAAAAATAAAAAAACAATTTAAAATAGCAACAACATTCATAACTTATAATGGGGCTGGATAATTCAACAGCCCCAGGCCTGCTGGAACAGCCAGGTCTTGGTCGCTTTACGGAAGGCCGGAAGGGTAGTAAGGGTCTGGATCTCAACGGGGAGATTGTTCCAGAGGGCCGGAGCTGCTACAGAGAAGGCCCTCCCCCGGGGAGTCGCCAGCNCCCCAGGCCTGCCGACACAGCCAGGTTTTAATGGCTTTTCGGAAGGCCGGGAGAGAGGTGAGGGTCCGAATCTCCGTGGAAGGGAAGAAAGAGAAGAAGGAAGGAAAGTAAGAAAAAGAAGGAAAGAAAGAAAGGAGGAAGGAAAGAGAGGAGGAAGGAAGGAAAGAAAGGAAGAGAAAGAAAGAAAAGATAGAGAAGAGGAAGAAGATGGGGTCGTCCTTGGTGCTCTCTGATCTTGCTTGTTTCCTAGCAGACATTTCATGAGCAAACTGGGCAACATCATCAGTGCTAGAAGGGAATGAGGTCTGCAGAATGGAGGACAACTTTGGAGGTCCTTGGAGCTCTCTGAATTTGGTGTTTTTCTTATGAACAAACTAGGTAATAACATCAGGAATAGAAGGCAGTGGGGATTGCAGAGAGGGAGGAGAGCAGGAGAAGGATGACTAGGACTCCAACGTCCTTGGTGCTCTCTGAGCTTGGCTGTTTTGTAGCAGACGTTTTATTACCCAACCAGGTAACGCCATCAGTGCTGGAAGGGAGTGTGGAGTAATGGAGAAGATGGAGTGGTGAAGTGGAGGCGAAGAACGGGATCAGGAGGAGGGCTGTGGGGAGTCCTTTGCTACTCTCTGTTTGCTTTTTTTCCTGGCCGACCTTTCATGACCAAACTAGGTAACATATTGTTGGGGGCAATATGCTGACTCTCTGTAAACCGCTTAGAGAGGCCTGAAAGGCCTATGAAGCGGTATATAAGTCTACTGCTATTATTATCATCAGTGCTCAAGCACAGCCGACATTGCCTAATTTGGTTAATGAAACATCTGCCGGGAAAACAAGCAAGCTTAAAAGAGCACCAAGGAACCTTCAGTTGCAAGATGACTTTTTAAAATCAAAATGTTGAATGGTCCATCTGATAAAATAATAATGCAAGACGGTAGGAGGCCCTCTCTGCCTGCCTCCCCACCCAGTGAAACCAGTATGTCCAGCGTTCGCTGGCTGGGGAATTCTGGGAATTGCAATCCTCCCCTCTTCCAAGATACAAGGGGGAAAAAACCAACCCTAATTCTAAAAGATCTATAGAGATGACACATCCTCCTTGGCGTAGAAAAAAAAGCAGCACGTAGGCAGAATAAAATTAAAACTTCTATTTTTTCCCCCCCTCGTCAGCATGAACCGCAGAGTCCCAGAGCTGCTGGCAAGGAAGAAACGCAAGCCCATAATACCTTTGAAGCTGCAAAGCATAAAATCCTAGTGTGAGCCTCCCTCTCTCTCCACTTCCAAGCCCACGCATAAGTTGCACCAGTCCCTGAATGCCAATTATATGCATTGTGAGGTTCCTAGGCCAGAAGGGAACAAACCTTTTTATTCTTTTTATTCTCTGGCCATCCAAAGACCTGGGTTTTTAAACTGGAAATAAAAGCAGGCGGTGTTTTGGAGAAAGGCACATGTTGTACGCAACCCACACTTGTGCGGGATTCTGGCCTTGAGTTGGCGGGGGGAGAGAATACAAACCGTTCTTTACAGAGGCACGTAATCATTCGGATGGAACAGCAGCCTTAGTTGGGTCTTTTCCAAGGAAGGTAGCTTCACCTGGGCTTCCCAAAAGCACGAAGCTTGAGGACCCAGACCGTGGGGGCGATATGCTGACTCTGTAAACCGCTTAGAGAGGGCTGAAAGCCCTATGAAGCAGTATATAAGTCTAACTGCTATTGCTATTACACATCTGTGT